ACATATACGTGACATGAGTTTTGCTTTCAAGAATTTGGGGTGTAGTTCCCCCCAAACCCCTGCACTTATCTTCTTGAAATGTGGCGGGCTTCATGCTCTTAGCAGAGGCTACCATCCCTGCAAGTTTCATTTAAATCAGACAAAAAACAACAAAGTTATAGATATTTCATTGATTCCCCATTATACCCTATGGCCGGATCGCTGAAGCAGCTCTGAAGCTTCAGAGCCACTTCGGCCAAATCAAAGCAGGAACCCAGTCTGGAGCTCTGGATCGGATCCCTGGCACCTGAAGCAGCCAGATCTGAAGCTGAATCAAATAGCTGCCTATTCACACAGGCCTAAGACCATTAACAAAGGAGAAAGGGGTGTTAACACCTCTGAAGTGAGAGCATTTAGCAGGAATCAGTTAGATTATGATGAGACATGAAATCAATTGACTCCCTCAGCCGGGCCTGAATAGAAATGCTGCTGCTGTCCTGTACATTTGTCTTTAAATTTGGGTTGAGCAGGAATGAAAATGAGATGTGATTGCACCGCTCCACCTCCTTCTGGATCTGCCCCTGCTGGACTCCGCCTCTCCCTTCATGTGGCTGCTGGAGGGAAAAGAAGGAAAAGAAGCAGAAACCACTTTACAGCATCTTCCTGCTTCTTTTTTGGGCAGAAAAAAAATAGCTTCCCAGTTTAGGACAATGTATTCCTGTTCTGGGGAAAGGTGTGTGAGTTAATATGGTAATTTAAATTCTCAGTATATCATGCTTCCTATATATATTTTTGTCATTTATTTCCAGAACCACTTTGTCATATGTAGCTTTCAAGCCCCATTGCACAAAGAAAAAGCCAACTCTTTAAATGTCTATCTGTTTTTCTTCTTTTTTTGGTAGGAATTACAATGGTTGACACCGAAATGCCATTTTGGCCAATGAATTTTGGAATTAACTCAGTGGATCTCTCTGCAATGGATGATCACTCACATTCCTTCGATATAAAGCCATTTACAACCGTTGATTTTTCTAGCATTTCTTCACCACATTATGAAGATATTCCTCTTGCAAGAACTGACCAGACAGTCCTTGATTACAAATATGACATCAAGCTTCAGGAGTGTCAAAGTAAGTAATTTCTTTTTAAATCTCAGAATATTCATATTTGAATTGCATAGTGCTTTAAGATGTATGCCCTCAACAAAAGAGCTTTGTTTCAGACCCTTTGGAATAAGGGTCACATCTTTAGATGAAAATGTTCTTGAAGCTTTATTTAAAAAATAACCAAATCAAATCTCTTTCATCTAGAGCTGTGTGAAGCTTCGGGTACTGATTCAATTTGGAGGAGATTTGGTCCAATTCGGTGGCCGAATCTCTGAATAAAAATCGAATCAGGGGAGCAATTAAAAGGTCCAAATTGATTCAGAGCTCTCCGAATCTTTGGAAAAGATTCGGAGAGCTTTGATGCTTCAGACAGTCCCTGGTGGCTACAACAGGGAGCTGGACCCGGACTCCGTTCTGGTAAATAGGGGTGGGAGAGGGAGGGCTGGGCAATGGGGGAGGGGACCCTGGGGGACCCCTGTCAGCCTGCATCCCCTGCCTGCTCCCCCTGCGGGTGCCCCGCCCACCCCAGCTCCCAGCATTTTTTTTTAAAAGCCCTAGTACTCACTGGGTGCTGCCGAGCAGGGGGACAATCCCTGCTGCCCCCCACTGCCCCACTCTGCATGGAGGTCTCTGCATGGACGTCTCTGGATGAGCCCCCCGATCCCCCCCCTCACTCCCCTAGGCTCCCCACGGCTGCCCTGCCCAGGTCAGCTCTGGCCCTTTAAGACAAAAAAAAACAAGAAAAACCCCAAGACTCACCAGCTCCCGCAGCAGCCTTGGAGCTTCCAGAGTCTCATGTGGATCGCTCCCGCAAGCAGGAATGGTGTGTCAGGGAGGGGGTTCGGGGGGGGGGAGTTCTTAAAGGGCCACCACAGTGGGCGGGGCAGCCATGCAGAGGGCTGGGGCTCAGACGGGGGGGGTCATGGGGCTCGTGGCAGAGCCCCCCATGCAGTGGGGGGCAGCAGGGATCACCACCTGCCCGGCAGCACCCATTGAGTCGGGGCTTTTTTTTTTAACAAGTGCTGGGAGCTGGGGCAGGCAGGGCAGCAATTTCCCAGCTGTGGGGGATGGCCCGGCTGATTTGGAGATTCAGCAGGAGCCAAATCTCTGAATCAGATTTGGCTGAATCAAATCAGGACAGCGATTTGAATCACCAAATCGAATCACTGTCCCCTCAATTGGCTGAATCCAAAGCAAATACTAGCCACTTCACACAGGCCTGCTTTCATCTGATAAGAGGGCTAGCATTTCCATAGCATGTTACCTAAAAGTGAGGAACTCTTTTGTATCCTAAGCTGATTAATGAAATCATGGCCTAAATCTTGTCTGTATTGGGGAAGTTTGTACTAATATGACAATATTGATTTTCCTAGTGTAGGGAAGCCCTTAGAATTTTATAGTTTACCTTTGGTATTGCTAGAGGATAGCAAAGAAGCCCCTAGATTCTGAGTTGTCAGTAACACCTCAATTGAATGTTTCTCAGTCAGGTTTGGTCACCCTACTCCCGCTGAAAATCAGATTATTGACCTTCTGTTGCAAGATCAGCCAGAAGATTCTTTGACCTGACATTATTTTTGTTTGTAGACAGAAGCATAGCTAGGGCAGGGCAACCAGGGCTTCTGCAGCTGCATGATCACACCAGTGGCAAGAGGCATCTGGAAGTTGCTGCTGCTCTGTTATGTCACAGCTGCCATGTGCAAGTAGCTGCATTTTTAAGCCTCTATTTGGGATTAAGTTCTTTAGCCATTTATTATAGCGAAGATAGTGACTTCTAATTTTGCAAAATGAATAAAGAGAAGCTGTACAGTTCCATTGAACCACTATTTAACCAAATAGGTGAAAAAACATTTTTATATATAACCATTTCTTTGGTAGGAAATACCCATGAGGCTCTAATAACCCAGCATTGAAACAAATAGAATATAAAATCTTGATGCCCTCAGTGAGGCAGCTTTCCATTAACATGACTGTAAAGACTTTGGGATTTGGTCTTTTCTAACATTCTAAAATATCAGAATGATTTGTATCTTATCTTGACATCCAGTTGTTGCAAAGAAGGTGAACTGCAAGTGTTCATAGCTTCATAGATTCGTAGATGTTAGGGTCGGAAGGGACCTCAGTAGATCATTGAGTCTGACCCCTTGCATAGGCAGGAAAGAGTGCTGGGTTCAGATGACCCCAGCCACATGCCCATCCAATCTCCTCTTGAAGACCCCCAAAGTAGGGGAGAGCACCACCTCCCTTGGGAGCCCATTCCCGATTTTGTGAAGAAGTTCCTCCTAATGTCCAGTCTAAATCTGCTCTCTGCTAGCTTATGGCCATTATTTCTTGTGACCTCCAGGCGTGACA